GAGCTGAGTGTTCCAGGGTTGATCAGTTAATCAGCGTGGGTCTCTTTATTAATCACCGTCCAGTGTAAAGAGAAGCTTCTCTTCAAAAGATTGGGAGATGTACTTGCCTTAGTTAGGGTTTCTATTGCTGTGAAGAGACACCATGGCCATGGCAACTCATGTAAAGGAAAACATGTAATTGAGGTGGCAGCTTGCAGCGGAGGTCTAGTCCATTATCATCACGGTGGGGAGCACGGCATTGTGCAGGCAGACGTGGTGCTGGACACGGAGCTGCTACATCTTGGTTCTGCAGGCAACGGGAAGTGGTCTGACTTACTGGGTGTGGCTTGAGCATAGATGAGACCTCAAAGCCCGCCTCTGCAGTGACGAGCTTCCTCCAACAAAGGCCACGCCTCCTAATAGTGCCGCTCCCTTGGGGGGGGGGAGGGCTCCCTCTTTCAAACTACGACAGTGTTCGTTTGTGGTTTATAAAGCCAAGAACTTATGAGGTAGTTTGTTGCTCTGCCCGTTTAGCAGGGTGTTAGTACTAGGTTTTAGCCACACGCAGTTTTGGTTTGGCTCAGTTAACTGTTCTAGACTTATGTTTCATCTTGTGGTACAAAAAGTGGTTGGTTACTCTGTATCATAGCTTGCCACTATTTATGGGCATCTCCTGCCAGGTCAGTCATTGTTATAGCTCACAGGGTTCACGTTTGGGTAAGACTATTTATTAGTTCTCTTTCCGTATAGAATGCACAGCACCTTCTAGTACTGATAGCTATCGGGAGAAGTGGGATCACTTTTCTTCAGAGATAGAGGCTCTTAGAGACTAGCCATGTAAAGGTTGCATACCTATGCTCATTCAGGCAGTGTTAAACGTACTCAATTGGTGTTAAAGGGGAGGGAGAAAGGAGAGAGGGGGAGAGGGGGTGTGTGGGGAGGGAGAAAAAGTAAGGGGGGACGGGAGGGGAGGGAGTTAGAGAGGAGAGATAGAGGGAGTATACTGGACCCAAATGTATTGTATTGCATGCATGGATTTTAAATAGGAGATTTAACAAAAGTAAACCTTTCACATCTAGTAGCACCGAAGTAAGTGAAATAATAGGAATAAATTTCACAAAAGGAGGGCAGTGACACTCTGAAAACTATAGAAGTCTTTCGAAGTCATCAGGCAGGTGCTGGTGCCAGAGGATATTTCTGAGTGGATTTAAGGAGATGAAGTAAACGGCCCATATTGGCAGACCAGAAAACAAAATATTATTATCGCATGGCCGTACTCTAAGATTGATCTTCAGGTTCGTCACAATTCTATCAAAGCCACATCTGAAGTCTTCATAGACATTGATACACCGTCACTAAAATTTATGTGCAGATGGAAAAAAAACTATAAATAGAGGAACAATTTTGAAAATATAAAGCTGGAAGAATTTCAAAGCTTTTTTCAAAATCCAGTAATCAAGGTGGGTGTCATGGTACATGCCAGTAAGCCCAGCTCTTGGATGCTGGGTCTGAGTGTTGTGGTATGTGCCTTTAAGCCGAGCTCTTGGGAGGCTGGCACATGGGGATTTCAAGATTGAGGTGAGACTGGACTCCTTCTCTCAAATAAACACTACGATAAATCAAAACTTAATACTGGGTTAAGGGCAGCCATGCAGATCAATGAAATGGGATTGGGATTTCAGAGATGCACACATAGTTATTTGGCTTCTTGCCAGAAATACTCAACTAACAGAATAAGAAAGAAAAGCCTTTTCCAAAGGCTTTTCAAGGTCTGGGGCTGTAGCTTATATGTGTCCATGTCACCACCTCTAGTAAGTATTGTCCTAAGCCCACACAAGGTCCTAAGTGTGATCCCCAGCTCTGCCCGAATGAAGAAACAAAACAGATAATGCCAACAAACAGGGTACCTGCATGCAAATATTTAAAGTTGTTGCCTCTACCTCACCACACAAAAAGTAACCCCAAATACATCACAGAGCTAAAACTGGCAAACTCCTAGAAGAAAACAGTTTAAGTCACTATATTAAAAAAAAATTAGGCAATAGGTTATTTAAGTATGATTCCAAAGTCACATGAATTAAAAAACCAGATACCAAAAGTAAATCCTATGTTTACATGTGTCTTTGTTACAAAGACACAAAGGTACGAGGGAGACATGTTTGGGATGTCCAGGATGAGTGGTGGGATGGAGTTGGGGTAGACATAATCAAGATACATTGTATCTTGTGTGAAACTGATAAAGAATACATTGTAAGCAATCAGTAAGCTGGTGAGAAGGCTCAGCAGGTAAAGACACACCTGATCTTTACTGAAAGGTTTGCTGCCAAATGCAGTGGATGACCTCGGTTCAATCCTGGGGTACACGTGGTACAGGGAGAAAAGAGACTCCTGTAAGTTGTCCTCTGACCTCGGAAGATACAGATGGATGCCCACACACATGTACGCACACAAACATGCACACAAAATGAATGTTTAAAAACGACGTTTCACAGGCTGCCATCAAGAAGGAACATTCCGGATTGGAGAAGTTGTCCCAGGCACACCCAAGTCTGGTCTTTCTTCAGTGGCCCCTCCCCCTTCTCCTGTCCCTAATTTCTTGAGGCAGCAACACTCGCCCCAATCTTAATTACTTTCCTATTGCTGTGACAACACGTGTTATTCGAGGCAATATACGAAGCAAAATATTTAATTCGGCTTAAGGTTTCGGAGGGTTAGAGTCCGCAATGGCAGGGCGAAGGAACAGTTGAGAGCTGACATCTTGATCCGTAAGCAGGAGGCTGGGAATGCCTCGAGCCTTTTGCAACCTCAAAGCCCTCCCCCCAGTGTCACACCTCCCCCAACAAGGTCACACCTCCTAATAGTCTCTTTCCAAACAGTTCCCCTCACCGGGAGCCACTCACACCCCCCCCCCAGTCCTGATTTAAGATCTGGTCATGTTTTTCTTATTACATTGTGTCAGCATGCTGTTTGTTCCCCACACTGGACCGCTAGCTGGGCCAGAGTGGTGCACCCTGTGTACTATACACAAAGTAGTATAAGGCAGAGGTAGGAACTGAGGCCCTTGGGATGTTACGTCTAGTGTTGGTGTTCAGAAAAATGACGTTCCCCAGTGTGGCACTTGACATGGTGAGCCTTCAGACTGTGTTCTCTTACCCGTGCCTACCTGCCCTGGTCTATCCAGTCATCTTTCATTCTCTATTTCCCAAAGTACAAGTTAAGGACTTCTTAAACGTTTATGTATGACTGGAGACACTTCTTGCACAGCGTAGACCTAACCCAGTCCCTGGGTATTTCTTTGAATAACTAGGGAAGAATAGCCACCAGAGGAGAGTCTAAGGAAGCCAAGGTTGTTGCCTTGCCCAGACGCTCTGTTCATTGGCTTTTCTAAGGGCAGCCGCAAAGATGAGCGGATTCTCTATAAAGACAAGTTTTGTGTCCCTCGCTTACCTGTGACTTGTTACCTACCTCCTGCCGGAGCTGAGAGGAGCCTCGGCCCAGACACTTACTCACATATTCACCCATAGCCGCATTCCCCTGGGAAGACTATTTAAGTTCTAACCATCTGGCCTTAACTTTTTTTTTTTTTTTTTTTTTCTGGGTTCTGTTCTTAAAATATTTTAAATACATTTTTTTTTTTAAGTTGGAACCCAGAGTAATGGGTTTCTTTAAGACCCTTTCACCTATACCTGTCATTAGACATTTTTCTTTTTCTACCCCCCCCCAACTACTCCCCTAGGCCATCCTTCCCATGCTGGTTTTCTTGGTCCCCCAAGATAGCTCTCCCTTCTGCTTTTGGTCATATTTATTCTATTATTTTTGCCTGCCTCCCTTCCCGTTCATTTTGGACCTCTTCCTTTCCTCTTTGACGGGTTAATTTCCCAGTAACACCACAGGCTGTATCGTGCAGTAATGCCTAGCCATTGACAGATATTTGTGATCTAAACTACCTGAGTGATCACTCAGTACTTGGGAGGCTAAGGCAGGAGGACTGTCATAAGTTCCAGGCCAACCTGGGCTGCACAGTGAGATCCTACCTCATTGTGTGTTTTCCCCTAGAAAACACAAATGGTAATACGCACTAAACACTTTTAGGTATATTTCTTCCTGTTAATTGTCTGTTATCACTTCATTTCAGAGGGAGTAGGGGACATTTCTCCTGCCTTTTCACTAACTTTGTAGTCTTAGCTTCAGTAGTGATCCTGTCTGGGACCTTATTTGTCAAAGAAAATAATCCATGAACCTGTTGCACCGATTCCTGGGTGCTAATATCATCAGCATAGAAAACAGCTGTCAGCACAGATAACAGCAATATAGGAATTACCTAATGAAAGGGCCCATTTTCCCAATTCAGGTTGTATACTGACGTTGTAAAGGGAAATAAGAGATGAATCTCATTGATGTTTCCTGAATTTATACATTATTTTTATCTAAAAAGAAAAAAGCAGTACTATATTTTAAAAGTTTTGAGTACTAGTGAAAACTAACCAAGCATATTTCTTCTTTCATACTTTAGTTACTGGCTGCATTTTTGTATTTTTCCTTGGTTTATGTGTCTGTGTGGTTGTTTGCTTTTATAAATAAGGAGGGCATATTTTTTTTTTTTTTTGGTCAATCGTAAAACTTCTTCTACTCATGTATTTATATCTAATTAAGATATTATGTGGTAATATGAGTTAAGATATTATCAACTACATATTGGCTATGCATGAAAATGATACGGAAACTTAATTGTGTTGAAATAAAACTTCAGTAAATTTCTAACAGGAAAATTGTTTTTTTTTTCTGCTTATAACAACTCAATGATGGGCAGGGCGTACCTGTTGCTCAGTGTTAAAGTATGTGCAAGGCCCTGGATTTGATTCTCAGTGCCAAAATACAAATAAAAACTTAAAAAAAAAAAAAACCTCAATAAAAACAAATTACACATAGAAATCAAGTATGAGTCTTTTAGATAAAGTGTTAGCGGAAGCAAGTTGTATGGTCTGATTTAAACTGCAATGATTTCTTTTATTTAATTGAAGGTCCGTTTTAGCTTCTTATCTTCTGAAGGAAAAGCTCAATATCTTGGGCAAGTTGGGGTGTCTGCTCAGCTGCGCAGGTTCTGTTGTGCTGATTATCCACTCCCCAAAGTCTGAGAGTGTGACAACTCAGGCCGAGCTGGAGGAGAAGCTGACCAATCCAGGTAACGCCTTCCTAGCGGGGTTGCATGTCTGTTTCCCAGACATCTCACGATACCCCTCCGTCCTGACACTTTCCGGCAGGGCGGGTGCACAGGGTCAACTCTTATTGGTCACCACAGATCTGGATTGGCTGTCCGTCCAGTCTGTGTGTGCACATCAGCTAGCTGCCTGTCAGTGCAAGCCTAACCCAATATTCAGAGGTCCTCTAAATTTGGCTGGGTTCACTAGAGAGTTCATGATAATGTTAGCTAAGGCTCTGTTTCCCTTTGGTATTTTACGCCTGTTGTCTTTGTTACTTGTATATCGCTGCAACAAAACACCATTAGCAACACAACGTATAAAACAAGGCGTTTAAGTGCGCTTATGGTTTCAGAGGGTTAAGAGTCTTTAATGGGTCAACAATGGAATGTTGGCCAGAACAGCTGAGAGCTCACATCTTGATTAGAAAGCAAGGGGCAGAGAGAGCTTAACCGGGAATGAAAGCATGAGTCTTTTGAAACCTCAGAGCCTGCCCTCAGTGACACGCCTCCTCCAACAAGGCCACACCTCCTAATCCTTCCCAAACAGTTCCACCAACTGCAGAGCAAGTGTTAAAACATGCAAGCCTGGAGGGGTCCTTCTTATACAAACCAAAACATCTGCAAAAAAATTCACATTTAAAATTTTTACTAATTCTAATAAAATCCAAAGTATTTTCTGAGTATGAGTTCAAAGAGTATACATATATTAAAAAATAGACCATTCTGTGGACTGGCAAGAGCGCCCTGAAGGGGTCATACGATATCCAGAGGAGAATATTTATAGGTCACTCCTCTGCTCCCATCCTGGGAGTTGAACCTTGGCTTATGCAGGCTAATTATCGTACCTCTGAGCCACATCCCCAGTCCCCGTTACTTTCGATGACTGTAGGTGATTCTGTTATGTTCAGATCCCGAAATATTTGCACATTTGTTTTATATATATATATATATGTATATATATATATATATATAATTTTTATTTTTGTGTATGGCTATGTACTCATGCCTTTGTACAGTTGCCTTTGGAGGCCAAAGGTGTCAGAGCTTCCTAGGGCTGCAGCAACACTCAGTTGTAAACTCATTTGGGTACTGAAACAAACTCGAGTCCTCTGCAAAAGCAATATGAGCTTTTAGCTGCTGATCCATCTCTCCAGCCCTGTGTATAATTAGATATCAAGAAAACGTTCAGAAAATGTAAAATATAAAATGGTATGATCTGGCTGCTTTCTTAGGTCATAGGTTTCGTCTTCCTCTTCTTCTTCTTTGTTTTGTTTTTTTTCTCCTCTTTGTCCCCTTTCTTTTTCTTAGTCGGGATCATAACTTGGGGTCTTGGCTGGCCTGGGGCTTGGTATTTAACCCAAGGCAGACCTCTAATTGTAACAGTTCTCCATCCTTACCTGTTCAGATTACAGGCATAAGATATGGTGCCCAGCTTGTTGATAGTAACAGAACTATTTGTTGTTGATATTAAGATGTCTTAAAGACATATTTATTTATTTATTGAGACTTCATGCATGTGTACCTCGTGTAGTTTGATGGGCTGGAGAGATGGCTCAGAGGTCCAAGCACTTGTTGCTCTTACAGCAGAGTGAGGTTTGATTTTCCAGCACCTACATAGTGATGTACAACCATCCGTAACCCCCGTCCCAGGGGACCTGATGTCCTCTTCTGAACAACCGGGGCATCTGGCGTGTAAGATACACAGATACACATGCAAGGAAAATACACGCGTAAAAGAACCTAAAGCCAAACATAAGGATGTACTTAGATTAAATCTACGCCCGTTCCCTTCCCTCCAGCCCTTCCCGTACCTCCACTTCATCCCTCAAAAGATACTGTGTGTGTCTTCTTCAACCTACAGCACCCACCCACTCAGCAGCTCAGTGTGCGCATGACACAGCCCCCTGCCCCCCATCCCGAATCTTTGTACAGCTCTCTGTGCTGGGGTGACCCCCAACCATAAAATTACTTCCATGACTGCTGAGCAACTCTAACTTCGCTGCTGCTATGATGTAAATGCCTGTGTTTTCTGGTGGTCTTGGGTGACCCCTGTGAAAGGGTTCTACCCTTCGGAAGGGGTCCAGAACCACAGACTGAGAACCGCTGCCCCAAAGGTTGTATGGGCTTAGACACTGCCACAGGCAGTTCCGGATTATTCTTACTTTAGCTTGTGCCCTGCTCCACCCTCGGTATCATGTCTGGTAGGGGTTGTGTAATTGACTCAGAAGGAAGAACTCATCCTGCAGCTGGGTGCAGAGGTGGCATGCACTTAAAGTCTCAGCTATACGGATGCTGTGTTGGGAGGGTCCTTTGAACTTGGGTGCTCTGGACCAGTCAGAATGACAACAGTCATGTGACTAGCTTTGCTTTTTATTTTTTTAAGATTTGTATATATATTATGTATACAGTGTTCTGTCTGCATGTCTGCCTGCAGGCCAGAAGAGGGCGCCAGATCCCACCACAGATGGTTGTGAGCCACCATGTGGGTGCTGGGAATTGAACTCGGGAAGAGTAACCAGTGCTCTTAACTTCTAAGCCACTTCACAAGCCTCTAGCTTTGCTTTTTTAACCTCAGGTTTTTAAGCCTGTTGTTGTTGTTGTTATTGTTGTTGTTAGTGATATTGATAAGAGTAGGTCATATAAAACATTAGTAGTTAAAACCTGGCTGTGGTGGTGCACACCTTTAATCCCAACACTTGGGAGGCAGAGGCAAGAGGATCTCTGTGAGTTTGAGGACAGTGCCAGGACAGGCTACACAGAAACATCCTGCCTCGAAAAACAAAACAAACAAACAAACAAACTGACAAAACACACATTAGTTGTTAAGACAAGATTTCACATTTGTGGGGGGAGCCATGAGGAGTTTTCCTGTCAATGGAAGCGATCATAATTTCTTCAGCTACTCCAGGCTTGGCCCCGGAGTCCTGGGAGTAACTCCCCCCCCCCCATTAGAACATGTCTCCATCCATTTGGAGGGGCAGTGGGTAGTTTTGGTCTGGTTGGATAGGGTTATGCAGAGGCAGAATTATAATGAGGTCTTTAATGGTAAAGGACACAGGCAAAGACTCTTTGGCACAGGCGTCCTGATGGCAACTGTCTGGCTTAACGTTATCCTCACAAGGACACATACCTGCTTTACCGCGCTGAGGGTCAAATCCGGGGCCTCGAGTGCGTTGGGCAAGTGCACTACGGCTGAGTTCCTTGCTGGCTCGTAGGACAGTGAGCATAATGAGCAATGATGGGAACAGCTTTTTTTTTTTTTTTTTTTTTTTTTTTGAATGGACTCAGCGGACTTAGCAAACAAGCTGGAGCCAGCTGTTGGGTGTTTGCCTTTGCCCCCTCGGATCTCCCTCCCCGGTGGAAGGGGTGTCTGGTAAGGGGTCGGGAGGTGGCTGGGCTCTGGCCCCGATGGGGCGGCGTCGCTGGTCACTGTGTGTCCATCTGTCTTGCAGTGTTTGTGGGTTACCTGTGCATTGTGCTGCTCATGCTGCTGCTGCTGATCTTCTGGATCGCGCCGGCCCACGGGCCCACCAACATCATGGTGTACATCAGCATCTGCTCCTTGCTGGGGAGTTTCACTGTGCCTTCCACCAAGGGCATTGGGCTGGCAGCCCAAGACATCTTGCACAACAACCCGTCTAGTCAGAGAGCCCTCTGCCTGTGTCTTGTGCTCCTGGCTGTCCTGGGCTGCAGCATCATTGTCCAATTCAGGTACATCAACAAGGCTCTGGAGTGCTTCGACTCCTCCGTGTTTGGGGCCATCTACTACGTCGTGTTTACTACGCTGGTCCTCTTGGCTTCAGCCATCCTCTTCCGGGAGTGGAGCAACGTGGGCCTGGTGGATTTCTTGGGCATGGCCTGTGGGTTTACAACTGTCTCCGTGGGGATTGTCCTTATACAAGTGTTCAAAGAATTCAACTTCAATCTTGGGGAGATGAACAAATCCAACGTGAAGACAGACTAAGATGCCATGGAGGGTTGGGGGCTTGAAGAGCAGGCATTGGGGGGGGGGGCTGTTGTTTTGACCGGATGCCAAGCAGAAAAGATGCTCAGTGAGAGTTGCCTGTTTACTAACTAACTAACCACGTAGTGGACAGTACGAAGCCTTGCGTGGAGTCAGGGTGAAGTCCAGACCTCTGCAGCACAAAGCTCCCAGTGGGTTGTCTGGGTGTAAACTCTCTCTGATGAGACAAATCCTGTTTTCATTTCCATTAACCTAGACGCTTTCGTAATTACTTGTTTAAAACATTTTAACACGATTGAACCAGATAGTGAGGGTGAGATCTTTCTAGTGAGTCTCTGTAGGGGAGCAGATGGTTCTTACCTAAGTACCTTGGGAAAGGGAGGAACTCTTGTGAAATCTGGCTCGGTACAGTAAACGACTTGACTGGCTTCGTGTTTGTGTTAAGCATGCGCAGCATTCAGGTAGTTTACTCAAATAGGAGGTATATGAGTTGAGTTGATTTTAGTCCTTTAACAACTTGACTCTCCTACATATACCCCGAAACAGTAGTAAGCAGAGAGAGGAGGTAATGCTGCTGGTGATTCAGAGCTCCATCTACTGGGTGACACCCCAATAGCTCAGATCGATTTTAGTGCCTTTATCATTTGAAGTATTCACTTAATTTAACTAGTGCTGTGTATATGTTAAATGTCCTAACTGTAGATAATGTAAAGCAGCTAGGAAAAAAGATACTTTATGTTCAGTGGAAGATAGTGAAAACTAAAGATACAGGAAAAAGTTGGAAAGTGACCCATTTCTGTGTCATTGTCCCATTAAGGACAACTAACTTATGTTTGAAGAGATACTTTATTTGCATTTAACTTATGCTACTTGGATCCATTATGGAAAATACCTGCTTTCTGTTTCAGGAGGCGTTGTATCCACTCAGAAGAAATAAACTATTAAACTTGACAATGAGGTTGCTTATACTAGAGCGTGTCTGTTAAGTACACACCACAGGAGGTTAGTAAACAGCTCAAGGACACGGCTCAGGACTGTTTCTACATAGGGCAGTGCATGCTTTCTGAGGGAGTTTCTAGCAAAGATGACAACAGCCTTCTTGTTTGAGGTGGTAGAAGCTTCTGAAGTTCTTACCAGACTTATTACTAAACCTTCTGACTGTGTGCAAGACCCAGGTTTGATACCCTGAATCAGAGGCAAACAGGGAAACAGACCAGCCTTCTTAAATGGAAAATAGCTGTTACTCATACAGTGGATTAGATCAGAAAGGATTCTTCTATCCGTAGTAGCCTTCCCTGTGCATTAAATCGGAGCAAGGTACAAAGTGATACAACGTAACACTGTAGAATATACCACATTCGGATGTTGCGCAGTCCACATGCTTTGTTTTTAATCTAAATGGAGTGTGCCAAGTTTAAAAATGAGATTGGATAAAAATAAATTACCTAAGCTAAAACATAGATTTTAATAATACCCACTTAAACTTCTCACTAAGACAAATGTGCTTTTCCAGATAGAAAGGCCATCTCCAAAGTAAAGACTCCAAAGTAGTTCACTGAGTGGTAGAGTAAAAAGGGGAAACAAAATACTAGTTTCCTATAAACGAATCTGGTTGTCTGGCTCATCTTTCAGGTTCAGTGAATTGTATGAATGATGACCTTGGTTTCTCAGTCACTGATTTGGGAAGAACAGCAACAGAATGATTTAAACAGCTGAAATCTTTGCAAAAAGCAGTAGTTAGCAAGTGTTCGAGTTCCTTCTTTTTTTTTTTCTATCAGCTCTTGAAATATTTTTAATCATCAGTGTCATTAAGAGCATAAACCTTAATTTGTTCCAATTACTGAACATAATTGGAAAGTGTGATGTAGCAGGATCAATATAATTTTGTTATTAACATTGCTGAGGAAAGAATGTTTCTCTACTAGTACAAGGGAGAAATTTATAATGTGGAAGTTACCATGTCTATTTTGCTACTTACTGTGGAACTTAGTGTAAATGCATCTGTCGATGTACCTGAAGTTTTAATTCACAGTTACACCATGAATATCCAAAGGTGTTAATGTTTTTGTGTGTGGAGCAAAATTTCATAGTATTAATAGCTCTTCCAAGTCCTGGAACAGCGAGACTGCCCAGGTGTCCATCTGGTGAGCACATTGCTTTAGTAGGATTCATACTTTTGTTCGAGAGGAACTCAATGCTTCTCAAGTCTGATGATAATGTTCCAGTAACTGTCAGAAATAGGGTTCAGTTCCCAAATCCAACATAGTGCACATATTTGTATACTTACCACCATCTTACAAATTCAGTTTTCATATTCATGGAAATGCATACGAAAGTAAAAATTCCCCCAGTAAGAGCTTTGTGAGAAAATCTAGAATGCAAAGAAATCTCTTGTTGTCCTCTCCAATAGGAAACACTTTCATTATGATATATTTGAGGGGGGGTTATTTCTGATAAAATTTAAGAAAACATGCCTGCTATGTTTTTTCCCCCAAGTCATTAAAATCATCAAAATAAAAAATGTCAGTAACGATTTATTTAAAGAACTACTCTTGGAAGACATTAAGGGCATTTCTCTCCTCTTGTACCTGGACAATGCCTGTCTTTACAGTTGAAAGATTGTTTCCTGTTTTAAGTATTGCTCAAGTGTAGGATCAATTAGGCCTTCGTACTGGAACCCAGATGCAGGATACCATCCGCACCATTTTTCTGCTCTGCCCAAAGGCTGTGTCTGTTGAGGTTCTCCAGGAGGAAGGCGTAACTGCCCGTGCTGGTACCTTTGGAGTGGAACAGTTTTCCTAGTGCCATAGCTAAGCACTGTAGTCGTTTCTATTAGAGTATCAGTAAATTTTTTTCTTTCTTTTTTTCTTTCTTTCTTTTCTTTTTTTTTTTTTTTTTTTTTTTTTTTTTTTTTTTGCTGCTGCTGTTTGTTCAACGATGAGATTCTGTTTCATTTCTGTCGTTCAAGCCATTTAGTGTCATTCCCAGTCCCTCACAGAAATAACGTATCGATCTTTTTCCTTTCGTTGCTCCCACACCTGTTTTCTCGTTTCTTTGAAACATGGGCATTGTGTGCGCTAGGAAAGAGTTTCACCTTGGAGCTCCGTCCCTAGCCTGTTTATGTCTACTTCTGGTAGACCCGTATTCAAATGTGCGGGCACAGGGCCTCCTCCTGTCTCCCACAGCTCAGTTGCTGGTAAATAAAACTGTGATGAACTTTTAGAAGCTGGTCTCTAGGCTTCTGTAAAGGACTCAGATGCAGTGCTCTTCTGATGTGGAGAGCCAGACGGTCTGGGGAAACCAGTATTGATGAGCATAGATGAGCCTTGCTGCGTAATTTGTTTCCTCTTTATCCCCTCAAAAGGGGTCATGTTGTGTATCACAGGCTGGCCTTGGACCCCACAGTCATATCTCCTCATCCTCGCCAGTGCTGGCATTAAAGGCATCTGTCATCACACCGGGCCTCCCGGGTATTCTAATTTTTGCGTGCTGTGATACTTTCATTCCACACTGACCTAGCAGAGCAGAGCTCGCCTCTCAGTATTCCTGTGACCTTTAGAAAACCTTTGACTGTGTGCATGAGGTCTAAGGAAGTATTCTCAGAGTGTCTGACCCCAAGGAGCTTGTTCATCTGTTAAGCAGGACGGGATGGAATCCTGGTGTTAAGCCTTCTCAGGGACCAAAACTGTATTATTAGCTCCTCAGCACAGACTTCCTAAGGACATAGCCACATTTTCCCGTTGTTTTACCACATTTTGTTGAGTTGGCAAAGGGCCACATGGCACATCGATCACATCACAAGTCGGTTTACCGCGTAGAAGGCCTAAACTTTTTGTATTTCTCATTTACATATGACAGTTGTTACTGGTGAATTCTAAGGGTCTGTTATTTAGCTGTTAAGTGATTTTTCACATCTGGCAAGATTCGTATACTATATTATATGTTCAAGGAGATTAAGAATTGATTATAGGAATAGTATGAGCGTTTGGAGCAACATCACTACTCTTTTTTTTGTCATACACATTTTTTCAAATGTTATTAAATGAAACAAAAAATATTTTTAAAAGTAATAGCTATTGCATCAAAAGACATCAATTTAAAAAAAAATTGATATTCCTTAGGGGGGGAAATGGCCATGTAAAAAAACATCTATTTCAAATGTACCCAAAGTGATTTAAAAGCTTAGTCATAGGCCCAAGGATTCAGGGAGGATTTGTTTGTTTGTTTGAAATATTTATTCTTATTTCATGGTTGTATATGGGCTTTTTCCTGCATGTATGTATGTATGTATGTATACATGTATGCCACCACTTGCATGCAGTACCTGCCAAGACCAGAAGAGGGCATGGGATCCCTAGGAACTGGAGCTACCACAGGTTGCCCGCCACCACGTGGGCCCTAGGAGGCTAACTTGAGTCCCCTGCAGAAGTAGCAGACGGGGGTCTTAGGCACCGAGCCATCTTTCCAGCTCCAGAGGACTTATTTTTCCTTCTCCCAGTTTTCTCCTGATTTGTGAGTTGTTTGTTTTTTTAACCTTCCCGTGCCTCGGTTTTTCTACCTCGAAGGTAGAAGGTGGGAAGGGTTAGGTTCAAGTTGATTGATCCTAAAGTGAGAGTAAGTTCATTGGCACTGTGGGATCTGTACGTGGGGGCGTCACGCTGAGAACTGCTCGGGACTGGGGTGATGAAACTCAGCTTGCAGACTTTGGAGCCTGAACAAGACTACTGTAGAGCATATAGCCTCGGACACCAGACAACTATAGGTATAAACACTGGGCATAAAGTGTGCATGGTTCCTTGAGACTTAGTTTTTGTTTAAGGGTTTACACGTTTTGTTGTACAACGGGGAAATAAAACACAAAAATCAAAAACCAAATGGAAAGATCAAATTACGACGGCGCAGTAGTTTTATGTTCTGCTTTGATTTTTGCGCTGCACAGGTGACCCATGAATTCTGTCGTGTTGAATTTGTCGCGGGCAACACTGAACCTCCTGCTGCTAAGCACCTTAGCCCTGATACTGAAT